ATGCTTCTAGAATATTTTCAAAATATGTGCTGATCGAGGTCGTGAGATAGAAATTCAAATCATATATAATATCTTCAACGTCTGAAAAGTATGCTCCAATCGTACCCGAATTTACAAAGTATAAATCACTCCTATAATGATTTGCTGAAATTCTTTAAATTCACTGTTTTTCAATAATTTGAATGATTTTTCCAGTGTTAGATTATAGCATTTTTGAGAAATTTAATGACCGCTTACTCGATATAGACAACGAAAGGATGATAAAAATTTTCATATTTGTATTAACCATGGGTGAAATCTAACTTTGAAATTTAACACATAGCTATATAATTAATAGATGTTCTTGAACTTTTTCCAAATTCACATTAGTGCATAATGTGTGGTTTCTTTTGAACAATACTCGTTTAATATACATAAAAAACATATGTATATTAGTAGTAATAGGTACAATATGGTTGTATGCATTTAAAAAACTACGGATTTCTTTTGTTTATTCATTATCACAATTGTGCATATTATATACTTATATATTACATCATACATAATATATTTAATCATAATAAATTATAAATTATACCCGCAGAAACTTAAAAACATGTTATATTTCAAACCTACAATAATTAAAAATTGCAATACTTTGTAGAATGAAGTACAATCTTATAGAATTTATAGAAAATATAATTTTTTTAATTTTTAAGGAACAATCTTGCCCTCTCTTTTAAATGTATTATTATAACACCGAGATCATGAAAATATTTTAAATTTTTGCGGATTTATTCAGCCTGAGTCTCTTTTGATTATGTGTATATATGTACAATATACATTATACATAAAAGTGTTATATATTTTATAAAATGTCACAAGGTATTTGATTTGAAAAAACAAAAAACATAAAAATCATTTAGAAATATATTAAATATGTATTATAATATATTAATTATAATTTAGTTATGATAATAATTTGGAAAAAAATTATTTCGTTGTAAATTTTAATTTTAATTGGATAATACTTCGTTTAAATAAGTTAATCGAGTATAATACTAGTAGACTTATTAATACGAAGAAACATTTATGATGACCAACAGCGATTACTTTTCGAGCAAATGATACATAATTATTACTTTGAGTGAATATCAAATTATTTATAGTATTTAAAGGTTTAACAATAATCTTCAAGTGAATTGTATTTAGTAAATAGATTCTATTTAAATTTAAAAAAAAATTGATGTACGATAATTATCCTATTGATCAATATTCTATTAACAAAATAAATAGATACGAACAAAAAAAAGAAATGCAAAACATATTATTGTAATATCCTTGTGATTTCTTTTTAGTTTAAAATATTAAAGAATAGTTATTTCATTAATGACCACTGATTTTGAAATGCAAAATTAGCTAAATGAGTATACATACTATACCCACTATTTGCAATTTACATTTTAAAAGTCTATTCATAAAATGAATAATTCTTCTGTATACAGTAAAAAATAGTATATTGACTTGAATTTTTAATTTTAAATAAATTTTAAATACTCAATTAAATATGTATTAAAAATATAAGAAAATCACTTTAGTTATAGTAATAATATTACTTATTTGCTAAAATATTTAGTACTCGAAATTCCGTAAAACAATTTTCTTTTAATACTTTAGAAAAAGTATTATAATAAAGGAACTTAAAAAATATGCTACACAAATATGTTCTGTATATAATACAATAATTCAAGGGTTAATTTTATTTTAAAACCTTATAATACTTGTTACTAAGCGTTTGTAGATAAATCATTAAAATCATCTTCACAATTTTATCATATGAAAAATATTCAATCTTTGATCAATTAAGTAATACCTTGTACCTACTAATAATCTTTTTTATGTTATTTAAACGAAATTTAACTTTTAATTAATAATGACATATTTGTATTATTTATTTCTAAAACGTATTAATCTAAAAATCAATTAAATAATATGTTATACATATTTTTAATACTTATGATATTGAAATTCAACTATTATTAAATCAATAACCTTATTAACATTTTCTTACGAAAATATAATTAATTTACTAAAAAGATCAAAAAAATCTTGTTTGTACCTATAAACTAGATGATTACAGATATTTGTAAATCGAAAAAAAAAACCATAAGAATTGCCCAAAACGTTCAGTATTTACTTCGAGTTATTATCGTTCACGTTGAACGTTGTCGTCTCTTGACTTAGTTACTGTCACATGTTTAAAATATACGAGGCGGTAACCGGATGTGCGTTTTTAACGAATTACTTTCTCGAAATCGATTTGTTGTTAAAACACTTTAAATCGTTTCAATTTTTACTCAAAAAAATAATTTGGTTCAAAACGCAATATTTTGTTTACTTACTATTTTTTTCAAATTAGGTTAGTGTTCCATATATTTTGGCCGTAAGTATTCAGATTCGTCTGTTAATTGTATGCATATTATAGAATAAGAAAATCGTGATTAGTAAAACGTTCGACAAGTCTGGTGTGAGATCGGCGTCCGTTGTTCAAAATCGTGAATAAATATGCCACGGGAAATTCATGGCAATTCATGTCGAGAAACTAAACTCAAGATCAAATTGACCTAATAACGATCATGTAGATCAGTCGTCCTGTGCGCTTGTAGGTAATCGTAAAACAGTTGATTTCAACTTTTTTATTCAATACCCGGCGTACAAATCACGTTTGACGGAAGTAAACGCTTCCAATTTAAAGTAACACACTTCAAAATCGTGTCCACGGCGGTAATCGGAACCGGGTAATAAAAAAAGGTCAAATAAAAACATCTTACGACAAACTTTCCAGTTATTATTATTCCAATACATACCAGTCAAATCCAATTCATAACGAAGACTTTTCTCTGACTACATACTATGTGCATTACGTTTGAAAGCACGAATCGGTGAATGAACTAAAAAAGGACGGATTCAATTGCATTGTACAAAACTTGAATATTTTACAATGCCCATAAGTTGATAAAGCACTGGTTTGTGTGTCACTGTCGATGTACGTATGCACGTAGGTTACGTATCAGGTATAGAAAAATCGAACCGATTGGATAGTTTATCGAGTACACTGTTGCGTGTGTTCGATTAATTATGAATTGATTGACATGTAATGCAAATCTTTTAAGTAAATATATTATCTCAGACTTGTGTTCGTGTTCCACGTGGCGCGTAAATCATCACAGCCATCTAACGAAATCGGGGATACAAATAAATGGTACAAGAGAAGAGATTTCAGTTAGATTAATTCAACCGTTTATTCGTGTCACGTTGGTTCTTCCGATGACGTGTGTAACCGTGCGGCGGAGTATTGCACTCGGTTTTCGAGAAAACGTTTGGACAACCGAAGGTTAGGCAATTTTTTTTGTCGACATATTCTATCGACTGAAGTGGTTCAAACACTTCGACGGGCGGAACGAAAACAAATAAAAGTGATACACTGTTGTGCGTTTGTCAGTAACAAATCAATTAGCTGAAAACGGAACGCAATTGTACAGTGCACGTACAGTGGCACGCACTCAAAGATAAATAAGGGTAGCATATTGAATGGAAAAGTACCACTTACCCACCAACCAAGTCACTTTCGAAAATAGAACTCAACTCAACTCGGCAATGAGAGTAATAGGAAGAATGTTAAGATGAACACCGCTGAAAAGGCTGGCAGTTATAAGCAATATTCTTCCACCGAAAATTCGAAGAGAACAATCCCTTATTCGTGAATGAACCAAGTATATCAACAATCCAAATCTGCCAATACATACTGATCTTAGATTATTTAATTATGAACCTAAGCTAAAGTCTCGTAAACCATCCTAGATGAACTAATACGACATAACTTCAACCCAAACCTCAAATAACAACAGGACGGGTATCTGATAACAGAGAAAAGCAAAAATTGTGAACAACCGGGTTTTGATTTAATTAGGAGAATATGGGTGACATTGAATCGTTTACGAACTGGGCACGGAAAGTGCAAATATCTACTACACAAGTAGAAACTAGAAAATTCTCCTGCTGTCTCGAACAATCGCACATATAATCTAAGAGTTTCCACTACGTGCATTCAACGGCACCATAGAAGACATACATGCAGTTAGATGGATAGAGTCTTGACATTAGCCTATAAGTCCCACAATACTACTAGTTATAATTACATAATTCTATATTTTATATTTTTCTCTAATATTTATATCTATTTTATGTCTTTATTTTTTTTTTTATGTATTTTAGCCATACGAAATGTATACATTGGCAAATGTCTTCAATTTTCTGTTATGAATGATAAAATACTCGGTAGTATTTTATCAGTTACCTCTATAAAAGCTAATAATAGGCAAATATCTATAATATTATTTAGTTAATTTTCAATATTTTTATACGTAGCGAAATTGCGATGAAGATATTTTGGGATCAGAGGTCCACCCAACCACAAAAATAATCAGGAGTAGCAGCTACTACCCTCGAAAGCTCCAGCGTGCGCTAATGGTTGTGGACACGACTTTTTCGTGTCCGTCGGTGTACGAATTCCGTCAAACGTAAATCGCTACAACTACGCGCGGCAACGATGACATTTTATTGGTTCATCACAATATCAGTGTCACACGTGTGCGACATCGCGGTTTCGCCGTACACGCGTTCATACTTATTCCGAGCGTACACATCATAACGCGTTACCGAAGTAACCGCGATGCGTTATCGCGAAGCGTATTTCGACCGGCATGCGAACACGCGCGATTAATGATTTTAATAGATCCTGTAATAAAATGGTAATATGATATTGTACAAGCAAAATTGTCGACAGGCAGCGAATGATGTAAACGCGTTCGGCGGTACGTATCGGTATCACACGTCTTAAGCAGTGCACGGGGTGCGAGTCCAACTTAACCGGTAAAAATATCAAAATAAATGGAAAAAAAAAAAAAAAAATCAAAGTAATAATAATTATAATAAAAACAGAACATCCGTTCTGTACTCACCGGCGACGGCGTTCTCGGGGCACGGCGTGCGCGCTGTTGCACTCGCGAGAATCGAATGAGAAAACGAAACCCGCAGTCGCGTGCCGGTGACATTAACGCCGCCGGCTGCTGTTTCGGTCAGTTCGGCGGCGCGCGGGAGAGGAGAAGACGCGCGTGTACTACGGGAAAGAGAACGTAAACGCGATTCGCACGTGTATTGCGTACCACTCGTCGTCGTCGTCGTCGTCCGGTCGACTCGAGTTTGTTGTTGCGGCGGACCGGACACTGCGTTTCGAACGGGCTTCCGTTGAGGGGCGAAGGCGTTTTAAATGTTGTCGTTACCGGGGACGTTTTGGCGACGGCGGACCGGGCGCACCCGTTACCAAATACTACCGAGCATCCCGGTTAGGTACCCGGTTCGATGTGCTAACCGCAAACCAGCCCTAACCCATACGGTATTCGCTCGGTCAAACCGTCCGAGAGTTCACCAGGCCTCGGACGCACGGTAACCACGGGCACGCGAGTCCACTAACATGGTCGCCCGTATCTAGGCCATACGATGAAAGCGCGTCGGTTTCCGTACGACCATTATGGTTATTATTGTCCGCCATCACTACTGTCCCGCGCACCGCGGCGGACGACGAGCGCGCGCCGCTCTCTCGGCCACCGCTCGGACTACATTATTATTATTATGAGCGTCCTCCTCGCGGCCACTCGTTCGGCCAGCAGATGCCGCACCGTCATCGCGGTTCGACGGTTCGTTCAGAACGCGTTTCTGTTCTTCACTCCTTCGACGCGACGGCGTTTGCTCGTCATTCACGTCTCACGGATAATGTTATAATCATAATGTATTTTATACTGAACACGCGCTATTTTTTGTACAGGGGTGAGCTAACCGAAAGGTCCGCGAAAAATTCCATAACGAACTCTACTTTGGTACTCGCGAGCAGGGACGGCGCGAGGGGGGGGGGCAATAGGGGCGGTTGCCCAGGGCCCCACGCCTTAAATTATAATTATGGCCCCGCGGTTCTGATTTGACTGAACTTAAAATATTTTATTATTATAAATTATAGGACCCAACATTTATTTTGCCTAGGGCCTCGCAAACTCTAGCACCGTCACTGCTTGCAAGGCCATGCTATGTTGGACATCGGTTAAACGTTTTTTTTTGAAAAATGCGAAAACAAATATAATTTTTACATCAAGCCAACGGTAGATAAGGATACCGAGACAACGTACACATTGAGCAGGCTAGCTAGTTATTAGGGCAAAGCTTTGAGCATATTCTGTGGCGAAGAATAAAAGTACACGGATGAACTTGGATTCGTTCAATTTTGTTCACCATGTTAAGTACCCCGTTTCGAAGTGGCTTAGGAAACAAGATTATAGGTCAAGATCTGGGAGTAATTGAAGAAGTTAAAATGTTTTTATCGCCTAATATATTACTATTTCATTCATATTTATAAGTATGTACAAAAATAAATAGCAACTAATCAGATTATGGAAGCGATTTCGATCTTGAATTTCCTCTCATGTTTGAAGAATCAAAGTTTAAATTTCTGTTGATATACTACAGAATTAGTATAATTATATTATTATAACATATATATTGATCAATATTTTTTTAGTACTATTCAACCTGTTGTTAACCTTGATTGTAATGCTAACATTAGAAATGCATTTGACGTTTTGAGTAATGATTTAGATTCAGCAGATCTAAATATGGAGTAAGTAGATTTAAGGAACAAAATATTAAGGAAGAGATGCAAAGAATACTATTACTAAAATGAATGCACTATCTATCTGAGCTTAACGAGTTTAAAAATATAACTATTTTACTTGCTTCGTTTTATAGCTGTGAAACATTACAGTGCCGACGTTGAACGATTAGTAAGTAAAACCAATATTCTTAAATCGACAAATTGTCAAAGTTCGCATGTAGAAACGATAAATTAATATCATTTTATTCATTTTAATATAACCGCTCTTCAAAATAGGAACCCAAGACCTGCAATACAGATATAGTTAAATATTATTATTTATTATTATTAATTATTTTAAATTAGCGGATATTTACGAGTTTTACATGCATTTAAGATAGTTTGACTAGAAGATAATGAGTTCTTACATTCCTATACAAGTTACATTATAAATTAATGTATAGGTAGGTGTATTCATATTATTAAATTAAAACTTACCGTTATTTCCATTTGATTAAATTCGGCTTTCTTAAACATGCTGACTAAATTATGACAAGAAGAATCGGCTACAAGGAGTCATTTTTTTTTTTTTGCTTTCTAGTAGACGAGAAGCGACGCCTTTTTTTTTTGTTCCTTTCTAAGATATTATTGTAGTTATATAAAAAAAACGAAATAAGAATACACACATTACAAGTTACAACAGTTGAGAGACGAAATCGCAGTAATTCGCACAAATTAATTGATTCCACAACGTATCGTTAACGAAAGCGTGAAGGATTGGAGGTACTTTAGTTGATGATAAATGGTTAATCTATCATGGTACCGACAATTATAGAGTACCTCACCAACATGCGTAAATCAACTCCACGCATCGTAAACATTTGATAAGAAAGCTAAAAAACCCAAAAATTTAACAAAAGAAACTTGAAAAAAATATAAAGGTACTATTAACTATATATTTAATTTAAAACATAATATATGAAAACATAATTAATAAGTTTATTATAACTGCACATTGGAGTATTAATGGCAAGCCAATTGCTAACAATTTTTAAGTTAGAGATGCCGTTGCACACCCTGCCATATCCCAAATGACGCGCTGGTTCAGAGGGAGGGGAGGTTAAAGGATAAGACTCGATTGTCTTTTTTATTAAATGTATTCATAATACAACTATGATTTATCAACACTTGTATACACATTAATTTTATGAGTTACAAGCAGTTTGAATAGCCTAACCATTAAAGTTTCCTTGTAAAATGTTTGGCTTCAAATCACAATCACTTAATTATATTATTATTTTACACAACCCTAAACTCTCATTGAAAATTCCTGGGCATTACACTGAGTAAATTACATATTTTATGTCGACACTTTGTAATAAATGTTATTTATATACATATATAACCTACTAGGTATCAACATTATTATAAACACTTATATACGGTTATCATCAGAAGATTTATTTGATGGTACATGACATTAATTTTTGGAAGATTTTACTCCTTCGCATTTAAAATAATAATCTTTTAGCTTTTGATTGGTATATTGAAAAAATTGAAAAAAAATTACATCATTCACACAATAACTGTTATTGGCTACTAACAAAAACGCGTTGCTATGACGTTTTAAATTAAATTGTTCATACGGAATATTTGTCACATCAACAACGGAGTCAAAAGAGAACACATACAATTTCCTTCTAAAATTTCCTGAAACCATTAATACTTTAAAGTTTCAAGTGTAAGCAATTTTAATTTGTCTATTATCCCCATATCCGCTGATCAGTGGGCGATTTGTTGACTTTTGAAATATTGGATACGCCAGTCATTGGAGATAGTCTATGCAGACATCTGTCGAGCAGATATTTCTACCAGGTAAGGTATTTTAATCTTCTTCCAACCTTTTTAAGCATTAGACTAATAAATATCTAATAAAATAATAATTTTTAAGAAAATTTTAGGATGTATTTAAGGGTCAATTTTTAAAACTTTCGGAAGATTTTTGGGTCAAATGAAAATAAACAATTATTTTTGTAATTTTTGAAAAATTTTCTTAAGTTTTATAAACCTTATTTTTAAATAAATTATTAACAATTGCCAGATACAAATTTTTCCTATAACTTGTTTCATTCTAGTATCCTATACTCATAAACGTGTGGATACCTGTATTTAACGGGCTGCCTACTATACTTTTGGATTTTATATTAACAAAACATGTATATTTAATGAAGTGAAAAGTTAATTAGGTATATTTAATATATTATAATGTATAATTAGTTAAATAAATATAAATCAAATTTTTTAATTAATATTGTGGTTATTAGTCCCATCGATATGTTTTCCTTGAATTTAGTATGTATCTTTCAGACAGCTATAATTATTTATGATTTGTACATTTGTAGTCAATTTTAGCTGATGTATTATCATAATAAATTTTTGCACGAAAATTTAGTTTTAGTTTTTATTATATTTTATATATATTTTGGCCAATATATTAGAATAAATTACATTTAATCTATGCAACATCAGTTAAAATAGGAAAACCTCAATTTCAGACATACATTTTAGGGGCCCTGTTTACTACATTGCGGGGGATTCCTGGGCACACATATAATTATAATCTGATAACGGATAATGTTGATTTTGCAAGTAGTAATTGGTTTATATTTTTTATTTAAAAATAACAGATTAATTGTTATATTATTACAGCATAAAATGTTTTGTGATTATATATAAATAGTTAAAGCTATAATATAATTTAATTAATTTTTTTTTTATTTTGAAAAAATACAATCTGAATAGTTTATATACAATAAGAATTTATGTTAAATTATTAATATTATTATTTATTATTAATTAATTTGATATTACATTTTTATTATTTATGTTAGTATTTAACGAGAGTTGAAGTATATTATCATTTATAAATCAAAATGAGTGAGGTCGACTGGGTATGTTTATCGTCAAGCTTGACGTCTTGACTAACCCCCCCACGAGGACCCACCTTAACGTGGTGGGGGGGCTTGCGTCCCTAAACAGTTCCGAGAGCTATGCCAACGGTAGTTTACTACCAACAGGGTCTCCCATGTTGGACAGGTCGACGAACTGAGGGCTGATAAAGCGGTTCTCAACAAAGGGTAGGGAGGGCTCTTCAGCCTTGGGTGGCAGCCGTCCTAGAGGAAGGAAAACCTTGATCAAAAACCCCCTGGCAGTAGGTTTAAAATGTAGTGAAGGAAATCACTTGAAAAACCACAATATGAGTTGTTATCAGTCGAGTATTGTTACCACTTCAGGAGCTTCGGAACCCCAGAGGTCGGCAAGAGTGGGTGGTTCCGGTGTCAAAACCGGTTCCAACGTAGCGGGCCCACTTCGGTCGTCATCAAGCGACCGCAAGGGTACGGGGGTGGTCGAAGAGGCCCCCATTACTCTATCCATTACTGGTGCGAAAAATTGTGGGCCACGTCGACGGCAGCGAGCGACTTGGTCACCGGACGTGATCATCAAGTCGACCACCGTACGTTTTATGTAGTTATTTTTATTGATGCATTTA